ATATTCAATCTTTAATGGAGATTGATCATTCTCAAAGGGAGATCTCACTGTTGATACCATGACCCTAGGCTCTACAAGTGGCCAATCCATCACCTTTCCTAAAACTAACTTTGGATGTGGACATAACAATGGAGGTGCCTTTAACGAAAAAGGATCAGGCATCATTGGCCTTGGAGGTGGAAAAGTTTCTCTCATTTCCCAAATTGCTACTTCGATTGCTGGAAAATTCTCCTATTGCTTGGTGTGTTGAAAATCTCAAAGTTTTTGTTTTATTTGCAAACTATAATCTGCTAAAATGATAAAGGATAAAACTAGAGAACCAGAGAAAGATAAAATGAGAGAGAAAATATAATTGAATACAAAGTCTCCCTACAGTCTTTTCATTCAACAATAACACTTATAAATACATATACAAGAGCGAAATAATAATAATAAAATAAAACAACACGTAAAGAAAAATAACTGGGCAATACAAACCCACTACCCAACATGATAATAACTGTAAAAGAGAGAAAATAAACTGATATTAACTAATAAATTAAAAGCTGTTGAGAATAACTAAATCTGGTTCTTTAAATCAAATCTCATTCTTCAACACACCTCCTTGAGATTGACTTGATGAACTCCCACAACTCGATTCTGTCGTGTGATTGAAACATTCGCTATCAAGGAGCCATGTGTTTTTCTTATCATCATTAGAAATCTTGGCCATGAACAATTGCTCCTCTGCCATATCAGTTTCTTCAACTACTGCTGTCTTCTCATCAGCATGTTTGCCCCTAGATTGGTAAACTTTCTCTACATGACCAAATTGGTTACAAGACCTACACTTCACATTAGGCCTGTACCAACAAAATTTTGGAGTGTGATTACTCTTTTTGTAATATTGACATGGGAAAAACTTGTTACTTGATTTGTTTGAGTTCCCATCATCATTTCTCCATTCCTTGTCTCTCTTATCTCCTTCTCTCTTTCTTGGGTTGTTACCACCAATTCGAAAATCTTTGTTCCTTGTTATAAGAGCATTTTCAATTACATTATCATTGCGATAGGCCCTTCTTTGTTCTTGAGCTTATAAAGCATTTACAAGTTCTGTCACCGATAGTTGAGAACGGTCTTTGGAGTCCTCAAGTGAAGAGATTTTTGCTTCAAACTTTTTTGGTAAACTCACCAAAATTTTGTTGACGATCCTACAATTTGACAACTTCTCACCAAGGAGTGTAAGCTGGTTCACTAGCTTCATAATCTTATTTGAGTATTCTTTGATACTCTCATCATCTTTCATCCGCAAATCTCAAATTCTCTGTGTAGATTCAAGGCTTGCATTTGACGAGTCCTCTCGCTGTCATGGAACTCCTCCTTCAAGCAATCCCAAGCATCCTTAGGTGATTCACAAGTCATTATTCTTGTGAAAATAGTATCTGACACAGCCAAATGGATGATGTAGAGAGCTTTAAATCTTTTTGCCACTTCCTCATTGTATTGCTTCATTTGTGCCACTGTGGGGTTGAGTCTCTGTTTTGGTGGCTTATTTCCCACCTCCACAACCTCCCATAAATTGAGATACGCTTTCATTTTAATAGTCCAGATGTCATAATTTTCTCCTGTAAACATAGATAGGGTAACAATATTAAAACTTGAAGAAACCATAATTATTTTAAAAAGCCTGAGAATGGAGATTTGCAAAAAAGAAAATTGTCAATTTCTTTCTTGGTCCCTTAAGATCCTTTTTGGAGCTCTGTTACCATGTTGAAAATCTCAAAGTTTTTGTTTTATTTGCAAACTATAATATGCTAAAATGATAAAGGATAAAATTAGAGAACCAGAGAAAGATAAAATGAGAGAGAAAATATAATTGAATACAAAGTCTCCCTACAGTCTTTTCATTCAACAATAACACTTATAAATACATATACAAGAGAGAGAAAATAACAACAAAATAAAAAAAAAATAACTGTGCAATACAAACCCACTACCCAACATCACAATAACTGTAAAAAAAAGAAAATAAATTGATAGTAACTAATAAATTAAAAACTGTTGAGAATAACTGAATCTGGTTTTTCAAGTCAAATCTCATTCTTCAACATGGTGCCATTTAATTTAGAATCTAGTAGAGGTAAAATAAATTTTGGGACTAATGCTACTGTTTCAGGTTCTAGGGCTATTTCAACTCCATTGATTTAAAAAAGTCCTAATATCTTCTATTTTCTCATCCTAAAAGCGATAACTGTTAATAACGATAGACTAGAATTCACCAGCTCTTCTTTTGGAACCACAGAGGGTAACATTATCATTGATTCGGGAACTACATTAATAGTCTTGCCTCAATAATTTTTATTTAAAACTGGAGACATTGGTGGCTAGCGAGATTGATGCAAAACGCGTTGATGCAACAGCAGAAACTTTGAGCCTTTGGTATAAAGCTCAAATTGATTTCAAAGTTCCAAATTTCACAGTGCAGTTCACCAATCCTGATGTGAAGTTGAGTCCTTTGAACACCTTCGTTTTAGTTTTCGAGGGTGTTTCATGCTTCTCTTTCACTACTATTTCTGATTTTGCAGTCCATGGTAACTTGGCTCAAATGAACTTCTTGGTTGGCTATGACATTGAAGACCAGGCTGCGTCTTTCAAGCCAACATACTGTACTAAGGAGTAACGAGTAATTACTTGAGCTTATAACTTGCAATTGCTGTTTCATGATGGCCTGTGTCTTGTTGCATTATAAACATTGGATTTGATGAGAGAATGATTTTCTTCAAACTCTTCTTAAAGACCACAACAGAATGATTAAATTGCTTACCATTGAGATGAAAATGTTTAAGTAATTGCTTTAATGGATGACACTTAGTTGTATATCTGATAATTAACATGTTCATACCCAGTTAACAAATGGTACGGATGATAATAAAATAGAATTTCCAAATGGTATGTAAGATGAACATCCATATCACCTTAGAGACTTTTACTCAAATTTAGACTTATCGACAAGATTGGTGCAATGTATATTCATATACTATTTTAGATAAGAGAGATTTGAACTTTTCTTTCATGCTTGAAGGATTGAGCATAAAAATTACTCAGCACTTGGACTCGATATCAGAATAATTTCGG